GAAAGATTGAGTTTTGTGTCCAAGGTCATTTAGCTAATCAAGGACTTTGATCTTTCAAACCAGAAATTCACATCAATGAGTCTGTCCTCCAGCGTGTGAGATATAAGGGCCTTGTGGCTTCAAGTCTATCAAAACTAAAACTCAGAGGTTTTTGATTGGATAGTAGGAAGTAAGGGAGACTGAGTATCTTGCCCTGCACTTCCATCCTATATCCGGAGCCTAGCAGGTACCAGCACTGCTTGTCACAGATCACCCCTCTAACTTTTGCCTATTTGCCTGTCAGCAACTGCCACATTGGTCTGGCATTGCCAACAAAAGACATTTTGGCACTGTGGTTAGAACCTGGCTCTGAAGCCAGATGGAGCACTCAGTGATGATGAGACTGTGAGATTCACATGCTCTGAACACCAGTCTTCAGGACTATAGGATGCACAGGCTCCTCGGTGTGGGGATGAGACTGCAAGCCTTTTAATCTCATTTTGATTCAAAGATGTGTTTTTATTTTTCCCAAATAATATTCATTTGTTAGCACAGCTTTTGTTAAAAGAAAGTTAGAGCTAGGATTAAAATCATGTGTTGGATTGTGATTTTGAACATGTTCATTTAAAGTGCAATGCACAGGGTAAGGAGATTTGTAACAGTAAATTAGCCCTCCCAAAGAAGCAGCAGTGTAGATAGGAAGCCAAACCCGAAGTCAGTCTGGACCTCGTCCCTGCCCACATAGAGCTTACCATCTGGTTGATGACATGAGATGAATGTGTATTAGTCAGCTTTTCCTTACCATAACAGAATACCAGAGGCAGGCTAACTTCTTAAAGTAGAGAGATTTACTGAGATCACAAAGTTGTTGAAGATTCAAGGTCATGGCACTGACATTGGCTCAGTTCTGGCAAGGACCTCGCAGCTGCAACACATCCCAGTGGAAGGCATCAGCAGGCTCACATGCAGAAGGAAGGGCTACATCACCAGGTACGAAGCCAGAGAGCTGAGTGGAGGCAGGCTCAGGCTTTTATGGCAACCCTCAGGAGAACCATCACCAGATCACACCAGAAATGCCGCAGTCTCTTTGGAAGGCATTCCCCCATTTGCGTGAGGACTTCCAACTAGGCCCCATTTCTCCAAGCTCCCACATCCCCACATTGGAGATCACGTCTACAACACATGAACACTTGGAGGATTAACCACATCCAAATCATAGCAGTCTTCAAGGACAGTACAAGTCCCACATAGTCTGTGCCCAGTGCCAATGAGTTTGGTGGTTATGTGACGTGTGTGTGTTGAGTGTCTACTGTCTACCAGGCTCTCTGTTGGGAAATGGGTTTATGATAGAGAACAAGACCCACTTCCATTCAATAGGGCAGAGAAGTGATTGCAGACCAGAGGGAGCTAAGTTCCTAAGCTCAAGAGTTCAAAGGAGACAATGTGTTTTTTACAAACCCCTTCTTGCGCTTGATAACTTTGTTGTAACCCCTTCCCCACTTGGAGTTGCTGAGAAGGGTGGCAGGGCTGAGAGCCACCAATTGCACAAGAAGAGTTTGTTCCTGAGTCTAGTGTTGCAGACATTCAGTATAGCAGTTAATGTAGCTGCTTGGATTATCTACATCCCATACTGGAATGCCTAGGGTTGAGTCCCAGCCTTGCTCCCAATTCTACCTCCTGAGCATGTGTATCCTGGGGTCAGGAGTTTAGAGCTCAAGTTCTTGGGCCCTTGTCAGCCACATAGGAGACAAGGATTCAGTTTGCAGTTCCTGGCTTTGACTGGGTCCCGCCTTGGATGTTGTAGAAGTTTGGGGAGTGAAAACAGTGGATGGGTAAGCTCCTTCTCTCTGTCTCTGACACTCTTTGTCTCAAATAAATAAAATAAGTAAATAAAAACTTTTAAAAAGAGATGAAGTAGCAGACGAGTTTTTTGTTTTGTTTTGTTTTGTTTTTTTAACAGGCAGAGTGGACAGTGAGAGAGAGAAAGAGACAGAGAGAAAGGTCTTCCTTTACCGTTGGTTCACCCCCCAATGGCCGCTGCAGCCAGCGCACCATCCTGATCCGAAGCCAGGAGCCAGGTGCTTCTCCTGGTGGCCCATGTGGGTGCAGGGCCCAAGGACTTGGGTCATCCTCCACTGCACTCCAGGGCCACAGCAGAGAGCTGGACTGGAAGAGGGGCAACCGGGACTAGAATCTGGTGCCCTGACCGGAACTAGAACTCGGGGTACCGGCGCCACAGGCGGAAGATTAGCCTATTGAGCCACAATGCCGGCCAGCAGATGAGTTTTTAATCATTATGTCTGACAGATGCAGAAACAGGCTCAGCACAAACTTTGTGTGAGGCAAAGAAACTAGGCCAGATATTTGAGGCTCATTTTACATGAGAAAATGTTCTTTCTTCATTTGTGGTCAATTAGTCTGCATAAGGGTCACATATATCCTACTGTGTGCAAATAATTTGCACAAAGTTGTGAATTAAGTAACAAGGGCTTCAAAGTCTTTATGAATTGATGTTAGCTATGGGTATGACCCTGGATGTAAAAGTAAGCCGCACACTGTTAGAATAACAGTTGACATAATAAAGGTTGTCCAGGAAGACAGGCATTGTGACACAGTGGGTTAAGCCACTGCTTGTAACACTAGCAATCCATATCCGGGTGCTAGTTTGACATCTACCTGCTCTGCTTCCTATCCAGCTTCCTGCTGGGAAAGCAGTGGATGATGGCTCTAGTATGTGGGTCCCTGCCACCCATGTGGGAGAACCGGATGGTGTTCCAGGCTCAGCCTTGGCCAGACCTGGGTGTTGTGGCCACCAAGGGAGTGAACCAGCAGGTGGAAGATCTTGCTCTTTCTTTCTCTCTCTGTTTTTCGCTCTCCTTCTCTGCCTCATCCTCTCTGTGTCACTCTGCCTTTTAAATAAACAATTCTTTGAAAAAAAAAAAAAGGTTTGTTCATGGCTGTACTAATTGCTACATGGTAAGTCTGGCAATGAAGGCTGATTTGAATACAGGGATGCTTCTTCTGTTGAAATTTTTTTTATGTCATTTTTGGTAGAAGAAGGGGAGATTTGAGAAAAAGCTAAAGAATGCAAACAGTGCAAATAAACAGAAAGAACTGTCTTTGCCTTGTGAAGGTATAGCATTGTTCTTTATAATTACAGTTTTAAAATTAGGGTTAAAGAGCTAAACACTTTCAAGAGTTTTCAATGGGAAGTCCCTGTTGGGCTCATTGGTGATAGAACAGAGCCATCTACAACAGGTTGAAGATGATAGAGAGGTGACCATGGACATGCTCTTGGCTCTCAGGTAGCCTGGGCCCACAGTCCAATGCGTGTCACTCACTGCTGAGTCTTCTGTAGGAATATTTGTTCCATGGTTGTTTACACAGTATCTATAGGTCATGTGTTCCTCAAATAATCACAACATTCTGGACATGTGGAATGTATATACTACAAAACCAAATGTAATACATGGTTCAAAAGGCCATGTTACAGTCTCTGCTCCATCCCTTCTAATTTAGTTACAGAGAATACAATAATGTTCAAGTCACAAAGATAGAATGGATAAATTATGTGTAACAAAACCAGGAACATTTCAATGAACTTGACATTAAAATGTTGTGAATTCTTTAAGTATATTTCGATAAATTGAAAATATGTGAAATGATGTAGTTTGGGATCATGAAAAGTAAGATGGTGTATGGGTTGAGAAATATTTTAAGTGGCTCTACACTTAATTTCTCTTTACTGACTACAGCTGGTACAATTTCATGGTGTTATTTCAGGAAATAAATGAGCTAGGGCAAATTAAATACTATGATGGTGTATGGTATATGGCAGTCACTCAAAGCATTAGCTAAAAATAAGTTATTGTACTTCATCAAAATATTCTTTACATAACTATATATAATGTTAAATAGAAGCATTTTCTGATTTCACTTGTAATCCATTTGTTGCTCATATAAAAAATTTAGATATTGCTATAGTTATGGCAAAAGCAAAGAAACTAATTCATTTTCCTGAACTCATTATTATTCCAAGATAAATCTAAACTTGGAGTAACAGTGGTTGATAAAAGATTTCTATACTTTATAGCAATGCAAGGTGATTTTATAAATTTGCCCATGAATGTAAGATATTATTCACCCTTCCTTTTAGGATGAAAGATGTATACCAAATGTACAAAAATAAATAAGTTTACCTCGGAGTATAGGATCTAGCCTTGGCTAAGTTTAATTGAAAAACAAATATCCAGTGCAATTGTCTGTGATAAACTGAGCCTTAAATGATTTGAAAACACTTTGAGAGCAGACAAATCAGATAATCACAACCTTTATGGCTGGAAAGGTTCAGCTGGTGTTGACAAGTTGTAAAGATAAAAGCGTACAGCTCTGTCAAGAGCTAAATGTCTAGATTGGCTTGGGGATCGATGTTAATACACAAAGTTTAAAGGCTGAACTTCAGATGATCTCTCCTGGTGTTCTGTTATGCTAACTTTTTCAAGATAGTAGTGTAGAATTTTATGGGCAAACTTGCTTGTTGTTACGCAAGTCCTCCAAGGTGTTCTCAGCCCCTTACCTCACTGCTGAGATGTCAGAGTTGTTACGTGAGTTGTGTCCCACATTGTAATAGAAGGGCCTTGGCTGCTGTTGTGGAAAACATTTCCAGTTGGGTGACTATTAATAGTTTATGAGAGACCAGAGTCAGACCTTACCATTTCTAGTCATTTGGCGGCTGCTGCTTTTTTTTTTTTTTTTTTTTTAAGCAAGGCGGAATTTGCCTCTTGGCCTCACTGTGTTCTCAGCCAAGAATGGTTCCAAAAGATTCCTTGTTTTTTCTAAGGCTCTTTGCGTGAGTTGATTCAACACTCTCCTAACACAAGCCCAAAAGCCAGTGGCAAAATGTGTGCTGTTGAGTTGTATAATGTATTCACTGCATTTAACTCCAATCAGTGTACTGATGTGCCCTGAAGTGATTCCTGCAACATCTGCAACCTCTGTCTCCTTTTTTCTTTTGTCTGCAGGAGCTGAGGGCACAGTGTTCCCCAAATCTATAGAGACACCTAATGTCAGGGCAGACCCCTTCAAGGAACTAAGGTAAGCTTCTGACTTTGGTTTGCATTGATTAGTGGCTATTTCCTTCTTCTCTGCAACTGATCAGTGAACCATTTTGAATAAGTATTAACAGTGTCATAAGGTGAATATACAAACTGGCAGAGGTTTGGAAGACATAAAGATAAGCTACAACCAAAGGTAAGTTTCCCATAAAAACTTAAGACAATTGAGTCTAGGGTAAGAGAGTACCAGCTTTTTGACTTTGAGATTTAAATTCATCCATTGGCAATTTTTTTTTTCTTGCTGTATTTTGTGATAAGAAAAAACTATCTACTTACAGAACTAGTGGATAATTGGTACTGATGAGTCCAGAGAAAAGTGCTGCCTAAAAGAAACTGAAGTCTAAAGAGAAAACAGGTACTTTGCTGTGTAAAAAGCTCTGCAGTACTTGGTAGTGGGTGGGATGGGAATGATGCTAGAACTACCTGCTGTGGGTATTCCATGCATTGAGCTCATCTCCAGATGTCCATCAGCGTGCTGTTTTAGCAGAGAGTGACTCAAAATGTTGTTCACCATCATCATCAGCTACAGAAAACAAAAAAGAATGACAGACGTAGAGATATGGTTTCTATCTGCCAAAGGAACATCCCACAAACTCTAAAGAGAAACCTGTATGAAATCAAATATTAGTTCAAATATCATTGTTATTTCTATTGTATGCATCTAACCTGGATGAATTCCACAAATGTTGCCTTTCTTCATTACTGATAGTTCTTTTTTTTCCTTGAGCCAGTCATAAATCACCAAGTAACAATAAATAGCAATGAAGCTATCACATAGTAGACATCCACCATAGGCAATGTGTTTACCTGGTGCAGTCCTATGTGCCCTTTTACTGTGCAGCCTCAGGATCTACACATTGCTAAAGCGGCAGCAGCCATGTTGGAACTTGAGTTTGTCTTAACAGAAACACATTCTCAGGAAATGAAAAATATATCACCTCATTACAAAACCAATAACGCTTTTTGCAGGGCCCATAAGTCATTATGAGTATAAGGAAATAAATAGGCGAGAGGAAGAGGATAATTGGTTGGGAAATACAGCGCAGTATTTGCCTTGGTTACCAGCGTAACTGCTTTTGGTTCACATGTCAGAAGTTATCCAACTCTCTGGCAGCCAGAACCTATGTTTCATGTCATCTTTTAAGCAAATCCACCCCACTAGGACCCTGCCTTTTAGGACTCTGGGGGAGTGAGGCAGAGATCGATCGTTGACAGTGAAAGAGCCCTGTTGGCTGTGAAGCAAGAGCTCTTTGGAGAGGAGCTCACGGAAGGCTTGGTTCCCTTTTTTCACGTTCCTTCGGGGAAGCCATTTTCTTAGAGAACCAGTGAGTAAGGAGTGCTGCTCAGCCCAAAGAAAAGTGCTGCTGCGACAAGCTGAACTTTAAGTACAAAATGGATTTTCCCCCTACCTAAGGATTAGCTCTCCATTAGCTGGAAAGCTTGGGAAATGGAAAAGATTTAGGCTGGCTTGGCTTACACTTTAGTATTAATCTGTAGTTAAAAACAAACCCAACCTAAACCAACCAAACAAAAAGAAGTCTGACAGCATTAGCCCACGTTCTGAATCTGTGCCATCTAAACACAAAGATCAGAGTTTTTGTTCATAGAGTGCTGCAGATATACTCACAGTGTCTGCACACAAACTTGGAAGTCGCCTTTGAAATAGTAAGCCTCAAAAATTCGTAAGTAAGTCCAATCCTAGTGGTGTGAAATAAAAAAACTTCTTGTAATGGATGTGTTTTCTCATCTCTGATTCTAAAGCTATGGGTATGTGCCACAGAGGCTAGAAATAAAATTTTATTATAGGATGCATAAAAATATTTTCATATGGAATTCTAAAACTGGTTGTTGGGTTTGTCCCTGTTGTTCCAATCACGATAAACCAAATGGAGTCAGGGACCTAGAAAGTCAAAATGCAGCCTGTTAATCCTACTGGAATATTTTTCCTTATCACACTTTGTAGGGAAGACTAAGACTGATAAAATGATATCAAATTGTAGTTGATATCTTGGCCCAGACCAGTGAGTCTGTGAATGCTTCATATTTGTCTTTTAACAGTGGTACATTGTACTCTGTGCTGTCATTGAAAATGACCTTGGATACAGAGGAAATTGGTAACGAATTTGGTGGCTAAGTCTTCTGGCATCTAACTTTGCAATTGGATTAGTTGTAACTTGGCCACATTCACGTCTATGTGTCTCCCAGATTTAAGAAGGTTGAGGAATTTAAGTGAGATCATTGGCTTTGTAGCTACAGGTAGAAGTGAGTGAGCTGTTGAGGTGAGGCAAAAATGTTGGACTTCTGAATGGTAGCCCAGTGGAGAGGGAGGCTCTCTGTGCTGAACCTCAGACCTCCTGCAGTCCCACCACAGGACCTTGAGCTCCTTGTGGGGGCCTGCTGTCTTGTAAAACATCCAAGTCGCCTGTAGTGGGACAGTGATCCCCTTATGGCATGTTTTTAAAGGTTTAATTATTTATTGAAAAGGCAGGGGCTGGCACTGTGGCAAAGCAGGTAAAGCCGCCTCCTGCAGCGCCAGCATCCCATATGAGCACCAGTTCAAGTCCCAACTGCTCCGCCTCCTATTCAACTCTCTGCTATGGACTGGGAAAGCAGTGGAGGATGGCCCAAGTGCTTGAGCCCCTGCACCCGCGTGGGAGACCTGGAAGAAGCTCCTGGCTTCAGATCAGCACAGCTCCAGCCAATTGAGGAGTGAAGCAGCGGATGGAAGACCTCTCTCTCTGCCTGTCCTGCTCTCTCTGTGGAGCTCTGACTTTAAAATAAATAAATAAATAAATCTTTAAAAAAAAAAAGGCAGAGTTACAGAGTGGCAGAGGCAGAAGCAGAGAGAGAGGTCTTCCATCCGCTGCTTCACTCCTGAGATGGCTACAACAGATGGAGCTGTGCAGATGCAAAGCCAGGAGTCAGGAGCTTCCTCCAGGTCTCCTATGCAGGTACAGGGGCCCAAGGACTTGGGCCATCTTCCATTGCTTTCCCCAGCTGTAGCAGAGAGCAGGATCAGAAGTGGAACAGCCGGGATCGAACAAGCACCTGTATGGGATGTTGGCATCATAGGCAGTGGCTATGCTACAGACCTGCTATGCTACAGCACTGCCCTCTTATGTCATTTTTAACATCTTGTTTTATATATAAAGGAAAGTTGCACAATTCATACAGCTCATTCCCAAGTACTCTTCATCTGTATTTCTCCCATGTTCACATCTTACTTATCCATTGTATAGTTACCACAACGGTGACATTAATATTATAGTCCTGTGTCCTATATTATGCAAGATTTGCTAAGGAATGAAATAACCTGATTCTTTATAGCCTTAAAAACCCAGAAAAAGGAGGTTAATGGAAAAGATATTTATTGAGACATGAATTAATTGATCTTTAAAACTCTTACTGCAGTTAAGTTGGAATTTTATTAATGAAGATTTTGTTTTCTCTTTAATATTCTAAATATCTGAGTTGTCTTAGTCCTACTAGTTATTAATGGGAAACAAGTTGAGTTAAAAGACCACGACTTATTTGTACATAGACTGTCTTTTAAAATTAAAAAAAACAAAAGCTTAAAGATCTACTTCCCTTGCTTACCTAAGCAGTTCAATGTAGGAAAATTATGTCTGCTTCAGAAAGCTTCTCCAGTGATTTAACTTTTGCATCCCCTAACTTGGCTGCAGGAGGTGTCCTGTTTTTTCTCTTCTTTGTTTTTTATTTGCTTGTCTGTTCATGGCAAGCAGATTTCAGGTCTCTGGTGTTACTTCCTAGCCGGTCTCAGCTGATAGAGAGGTAGATTCCTGTCTGCTGCAGTTCGGTTCACTGCTTTTCTTTTCAGAGTTACTGCCTTTACTGATATTTGCAGACTTTGCTTAAGATGGCAGTTGATAATGCAGCGGTGACCTCAGATGCACGAGGAAGGGTTACTTCTCTCTAACTGAATAGCAAGTGTTACAAAGTTCTGTGCCAAGCATCCAACCCAGGCCATGTTTGCAGACTTTACCCATGTACAGTGATTCTCAAATAATGGCATGGTCTAGATTCAAGACGTGCTCAAAAACATACCAGGCACTAGACCTGTCTCTTGAAATGTAAGAAAAGAAGACCTAAGTTTGAACAGAAAGTAGACTTTAAAAGATTCATGATTTTATAATATGAATAAATTAAATGTTCACATGCTCACTAATTTTTATCCTGAAGTCTATATAAAGACAAGTGGAAAAATCACTCATCTCTGGCCATTTGTGATCTGAAATGGGACATAAACCATTAAGTTTTGCAAATATATTTTTATGAGGACAGAAGCTGCCATTGTAAGCATATACCTTGCTTTAAAGATTCTTTTCAACTGCAATGTTTTCATATGTCCTACAAGAATGAGTGGTAGACTGAAAACTTGTTTCACAGACATATGCAATGGCAAATAGGAAAAAAAAGGGAGTAGGGTGTGTAGACTAATTGCTCTGAAATCCCCAAGAGCTTGGAAAGAACCAAAAGAAAAGCAAGAAATCAAAGCACCTTTCTAAAAGAAAGAAAGATGCTTTACATCCTCACTCAGCTAATATATTGGTGTCCTCTTACTTGGCACCCAGTTAGAAGAAGGGTGGTGGCCTGTTGATCTGTCTCCAGTGGGGTCAGTGTGGTCAGGTCCTTGGTTTCATCAGAAAAAGAATTCAGAGATGGACACGAGCATGAGGTCAGACAAGCTAAGATTCAGTTTTGCACAGTGGAGCAGTAAGGGAAGAGTAACGAGCCCCTTAAGGACAGGGTCAGGGAGTAGGCCTGAGATGTGCCACCATTGCTCACCCCTTCCCTGCTTGCAAGTTCTCACTTTGCTCAAAGAAGTAAATACTCTACAGACTGAGTGTGGGCAAGCTCAGAGATGAGCTTCCGCGGTTCCACTTGACTCTTCTCGCTTATTTTCCCCAATTACAGTGTTCTTAGGGGGTCTCCCTGGACTGATTCCTATCCTCTTCCTTC